CTGACTTATCCTCGTAAGCGAAGAATTTCTTATCTGTATATACATTGGACGGGCCAGTCCATGGAGGCTTCCAGGTCATTCCGCCATTTTGAAAAACTATAATCGCCGAGAGGGACATAAAGCACTAGCCTACCTGTCTAGCTAATCCACAACACGTTTTCGTTCAGAGCCAGCGCCACGTGACTGAAACCAGCTATAACGGAGAAGGAGATCAGTGAGAGGCGCTTGTCACTGCCCCGGGACATTTGAAAAAGTCTGCACTGCACTTTAGTTAATAATGGAGGATCATACTTATGCCGAGCCACAGGAGAAGGAATCCTCGTCGCCAAAAAAGCGAAAAAGGGAATTAAAAACGTGACCGGCGAATTCAAAAAACGAGGGTAAACATTGGGGTAGCTTTTCCCTGGTGGAAAGAGCTAATGAAGGAGAAAGACTTTCAAAGGGACGCTGAAGTTGCCTGCTTTCTCCTCGACAGGTAGGCTTCTTGGTACATAACGGCTACCGTAGTTGCAATACGCATTTGAAAACGCAAGGCACTAGAGAGCACTATTCGTTTGAATGCAAAATACAATTTCACCGCTAGATGGGAGAAATTCCTACACAATGTCCCTTTAACTACAAATTGCGTATACTTATTCTTACTTTAATCATAATCCCTTCACCTAACGGGTACTGGGAGGAAAGCAGTTACAATTAGGTAGTTTTAGGTATGGGTAAGGTAAGTTATTTAGTATGTGCCTTCCAAAACCTATAACGGAAGAAGTTTACATGATCCTTTTTATAATGTCCATGTTTGTTTTTGTGTTTTTGCCTTCTGGGTTTTATTTTTCAGGCAAAGTAGCTCATAAATGTGATGCTTTTTGCAGCAGAGTCTTAAATGTCAGATGTTAAGCTTCCATAAAAACCCTAACCGTTCTGTAATTAGACTACCACACAATGTTAACACAACTTTGACAAAAATAATATCCTGTGACTAATAATTTTCACCAGAAATGTAAACAGGAAATGCAGTTAGAATGGGCCACCACATGCAAGACCACTATTAGTATGTTCCCTTAAAGATCCCTCGACAGTATGTCTTAGGAAAGGTATAAGAGAGAGATGAGATGACATATGACATAAAACTGTGACATGGATTACAATGCATGATGTGCCTTATGGCAGGAACAGTTTTTTTTTTTTTAGGGCCATGTCACTAATTTACTTTGCTGATCCCCAAATTGGAATTCTCGGTTTGCTTTTCCAGAAAGGTCAGAGGTCAGAGTCAGCTGCAGAGAAGCACCCCACAGCTGTTGGAACAAACAAGGCAATCTCAGTCACTCAGCTGTCCCAAAGATTCCTCCTGATTATGTTGCTTTCTTTTGGGTTTATTTTTTTTCCACCCTACTTGGTATGACCAATTCCCCTTTAGCTGCGGTTTTTGTCACTTGTCTGATACACAATAGATACTTCTCCTCACGTACGGCTGAGGAGCTTCATCAGTAGGCTGTAATGCATGCAAAGTTTAATACTATTCCCCACAGATCTCAGCCCCTATATCCCAGCTCCCTTACCAACCAGTAGAGTAGCTAGAAAAGGACATGAACCCTGACCAGCTCCCCACCTATGCACACAATCTTAAGTTGAACCCAGGGGTCTGGTGGGGTGTTTTGTTGTGGCACAGCCGCACTAGCTCAGCCTGGCAGACAGACAGTGATTAATTATGGTGATCAGCAGTCCTCATCTGCTTTTTTTTTGCTTATGTTATTATACAGATCTACAGAACTAAATCTATCTATCTAAAATATACAGGAATCTCAAGTTTAAATGTAGCTTTACCGATAAAAATATTTCCATCATACACTCAATAGACTACAGTATGGCAAATGCTTCATTCTGTGCATTTTTTTAGATGTGGATTTTTTTGATTTTTGTAGTTCAACCTGATATTTTGGAAACTACAGTCCAAAATTTGTCAATTTCCCTAACTGAAAACTTTGTACAGACTTGTGTGCATGCAGCGTTGTTTGAGCTAAAAGTCATTAAACTGTAAGTTGAACCCTTTTCTGCACAGACACACAGATGGTTTCAGTTATTCTGGTTGATTACGCTGTGTTCATATCAAATGGGACGGATGGAAGACATGGGTGTAATTTTCATAAACAATGGCCTTTTGCTGATATGTGGCAGCCAGCATTAGTCAGATTTTTTTCTAGCTTTTCCATATTATGAGTGCCAAGTTGAAAATATTGGCACTTTCAAGAAAATCGAACTTTTCCCAGTCGTTATTTCAACTTGATCACGATTAATAAATTAGAAACTGGTAACTATAATAACTCTGACATTAAATGCCATTAGCCCCCTCAGGAAGATGTCAGTGAAGTTCAGTCAGCGCCACACACACACACACACACACACACACACACACACACACGGTTCTGAGAAGAGGTCTAATCAGGCAAAAACACCAGTGCAGTTGGAGCTTTTGTGATTCAGCATGAGGAAATGGCTTTTTTAAAAACTTTGCGCTATCACATTTTCCACTGTCTGAGTTGGTTCACAATGTTCAACGTCTTGTTTTCTATTTGCTCTCGATTAGAAATGAGTCACAGAAACGACTGAAATTAAATATGATCCCTGTAAGTTTGGGTCTGGCTGGTTCCTCCTGAGTAGTGAGACCTCTACAAGGGCCTGTGACAGTATCCTGGGTGAAATCTCTGTCCCTCTTAGACTAACATGTTTTTTTTTTTTTTTTTGGGGGGGGGTTTTCAAGTAAAACAGTGTTTCAGGTCCATTTGATTTGATCACATATTCCAAAGGAAACTGGCTATCATTAGAGAGGACGGGAGGGAGCAGGGAAGTGGAGAAGGAAGAACAAGAATGAGCAAAGGATAAACAGATAGCAAGCGTGTGTTTGTGCATCGCTGTACTCCTACGGACTCACGGTCAATGGTGAGTCATCTGTCTGGAGAATATGTCACTTTGTGTTTTCCCGCTGACCTTTCAGCAGCACATTTTCTGATGCAAGCGCTCGAGTGTCAAATCCTGCACCCTCTTCACCATCTTGTTTATTTTTTTCCTCATTATTTTGATGATACATACTGTTTTGGGTTTTTTTTCAAGTCTCGCATCCTTCACACTGCATCAGTGTCATTACCTCCTGTCATCAAATTCGGCTCTACTCACTTGAATTAAGTTTTGAATTGAATCATCAGATGCTCATGACAGGCATGTGCATGTGCGTGTGTGTGTATGTGTGTATGTGTACTGGAGTGAGCCCCCCGTTGATTTCAGTAAAATGACTCACTCTGTCTTCCTCACAGTCCCGGTTTTCAGCGAGTCACCCACACTCATCCTGAGGCACGAGCTGTCCCCAGCTGCCCTGCAGCAGTGGCACCCTAACTGGAGTCCTGGGACCTTTTGTGGAGTCCATGTTTGGACTTTCTAGAGGCCCACTCTCCACACATCATTTCATTCCACTAATATGTTGCTTTCCAAAAACTGTTCTTAACTACTTTGGCCTTTAAAACATTCTTAACAGAAACAGCAATTATGTCTTACATAAGATAAATCAGAATATTTTCCTCAGATTGGGGTCTCTAGGATGAACTCTTGCACATCTCTCTGTGGCATTCCTTATGGTGTGACAAAACGAAGGAAATGCTGACCTAGGGGTATTTAACAGGATTATCCTGTTAGTGGATATGTGTGAAGGAGGATCAGCTGTTATGTTGCCTGACTTCTTAATGATTCTCAAATTAAACTACGTAAAAAAGATGTCTCACTATGAGCCATTTGGCTCAGTGAGTTACCGTAGTTCTTCTAACAGCTCTCAAGGTGAGCATGACCCATAATTCACTAATCTAAATAATACTCAAGACAATAAAACCAGTGACAGAGCATCTGTTATTAGCCCCCGGGTTCTCCCCTGTGGTTCTCTGTGTTCACCTTAAAGGACCAGTGTGTAAGATTTAGTAGCACCTAGTGGTGAACAAACTGAAACGACAGTGGTCGTGAACAACTCAAACTTTGGTTTTTCCGCTCTGGAGTACTACAAACATGGTTTAACATGGAGTAACAGCATTTTCCTTGTCAGCATCCAAAACCTCCTCCTGGTGGTTCAAAGCTCCTGTACTACCAGTGTCCCAAGCTCCCAGTCCTGGCTAACGGCTAACTGATCTAACTAGAAGACAGCAGCTACAGTTAGCAGTTGATTTAGCAACAGGTTAAATCTATCTGTCCATCAGAAAGCTTTGTAAATCACCTTAAGTTGAGGTGGAACCATAGCTGCCAGAAGTAGGGGTGCTGGGTGATGTGCTGTTGAAGCCTCCCGTGCATATACACAGAGAATCGACTTATATATATATATAATAAAGTAAGAGACATCTTGTGTCCATCTGTTTCTTAATTTTTCAACAAATGAGAAGATGTAAATTTATGAATTTTTACAAATACATTTTAATTTTGTTTTGTGCGGACACAAAATCTTATTCTAAGAGTATTTGATATGTCCTTAACATGCCTGAAGGCGTGCTTTAAATACAGTTTGATGGGTTTCGACTGAAAAAGACCATTAACACTTTAATTATGACCCTTGACCCATCATTGAAGGCATGAATATTGACATAATGCCTCCCTACTAAGAAGTTAATAATAATAATGAGATAGCAGGCTGGCATAGAGAAACGACCTTGTCAACCTTGGAACAGATCAAAGTGTTCCCTCCCCAACAAATCAATCAGTCAATAAAACAGACACACACACACACACACACACACAACAACATACACTATGCTTGACTACCCTTAACAATATTTAGTCTTATCTTGTCCAATAAACACCATCACTTACAGTAGAAAGATGACAAATGGATATAGCCATCATGTTAAACCTCCTTCTTCATCAAACATTAAACAGAAAGTCATTAAATATGGATTGAAATAAAAAGATAGGCTGTAGAGCTGTCAACTTGGATTTTTTTCTTTTTGAGTTGGAGAGGTCAAACACAGCTCAGGTCTTACCTTTGCAAATAAGCCGAGTTTTCACTGTCACTGTGCCATTAGTCAAGCAGGGGGATTAGGCTGTAACTTGAGGGAAGGTAAAAAGCCATCTTCCACTTTGAAGGCTACTTCCAGTGAAATGCCATTCCGGAGAAAATTCAGCTGACAGGGAGTGGGGGGGGGGGCAGTCCAGCTCCCATGCAGGGTTTGGAAACAGCAGCACAGTCTTTACTCACAACCAGGGTCCTTAATGGAGTCGATACGATGTCATTATTACAGCTTACCCGGGTCAAATTTGGTCTGTGAGCTTTCAAAGTGTCTCTTTTGGTGACTTTATTGAGCGCGGAGCACGTTTTACGCCATATGGAGAGAATGCGCGCTCAGGACAATGAGGGCGGCGAGACGCGCTCCTAATTACGACTGAAGGAAAATCCTTTAACACATTCCGCCTATTTAAAGTCGTAAACACTCAGGTTGTAAATCCCCAGCGGTGAAACATTCCTTGTTTGATTGGGAGGGGAAAAGACCACAAAGCCGCTGATGTGATGTCCCTCCTGGCTTTAATGCGTAAAACTCTACGCTATCCCGATATTCGCGTCCAAAAAAAACTTGATTTTATGTCAAAAAAAGAGAGAAAGAAAGACACGGGTTCGAAAGAAAATCTCAGCAGCAAGTTGTTGCCTTTTAAAAGCAGTTTAAAAATCGGCGAGTAAAAAGCGTGTTTTTATTCCTGAGCCGGGGAAAGACAAGGCAGATCCATCCAATTCCTCCAAAGCGTTTCAACGCTTGTGGGAATGTGAGAGGCTTTCACTGAGGTGTGTGTGAGTGAGAGAGACAAAGGGGGAGAGAGGAGAGAGAGAGAGAGAGAGAGAGAGAGAGAGAGAGAGAGAGAGATGGGGGGTTAAGCAATGGGAAGATGTAGGTCTATGCATTTATCGAGGAAAAACAAGGCACTGTGCCCATGCTGTGCAGGGCGCAGACGGTAATGGTTTTGAGGAAAGATAGAGGGAGAAGAAGCCTTGGTGATGCTCAGCTTCAGGAGAAAAATGGATCATGTGTCTGTGGGAGCAACAAGCAGCAGTATTTGTGAATACAGTATTAGCACACAAAGCTCAGGAAACACTCCTGCAGCAACAAATGCAGTGTGGAAAAGTGTGTGTAAGTGTCTGACAGCTGTAATATTGGCATGAGTTACATCTGCTGTGTTCATCTAAGATATGCAACAACTTCCCAGATGTTAGGAGTTACCAACACGTCACAGCGCACTGTTTGTGTTGAACTTTTCAGCTTTTCTCCTTGCACAGAGAGAGAGAGGGAGGGGAAGAGGGCAAACAACATTGCAGATGTTGGCATGAATGTCATTTCCTGTATTTATATGCTGAAATTGATTCAATGAAAATACATCAGCTGGGCTGGAATGCAAGACAGATATTTGGGCAGATATTTTGAACAATAAGCTGGAAACGCATGTGTGTGAGAGAGGGACAGACCGTTATTTGTTCAGATGGCTGAGATTAAGTTGGCGAGAAATGAAAACCCCTACCCAGAGGGCAGAGTGGCGCATGTGCACACTGGATACACATTTGTGCACGATCATTAGGGCATTCTTTCGGTCCTCAGACGCCATCTACGACCTAAAACCTGACCATAACCTTAAACCCTAACCTTAACTCTCATTATAGCACCCTCTGTGCACCACACACACTAAAAATAACCCCTCAGGGGCCCTAAAGCATCGCCGGATAGCACAAGTTTTTGTGGCGACATCTGGAGCCTGTAAGATCATAAAAACACAAACCCTGTGCCTGCTCTCAAACCATAAGACAGCTATTCAATTTGAAGCCATATCCCCGCAGTGGTCAGTCAGCTGCTGTATTTACATTCCGTAAGAGATCGAAATGAAAACAGAGAGAAGGGGCAGAGAGGAACAGCAAGAGGAAGACGGTAGGATGGGAGGAGAGTGTGGGAGAAAAAGGAGAGGAAAAAACAAAGCCTTACATTGTTGATTGTTGCATTTTTTTGTTTACAAGCCCACTTGGGATTATGGGATTTACAAAATGCGTTGACTTTTTGGGTTATACTTATTGTAAGCAGCTGTCTGCAGGACTCTGCAGCTAAACAATTAAAGGGAAACTGTAAGTGAGAGGAGTTTTGGGCAGAAAGGCAGAGAGGAGGAGAGGGAATGGGAAGTACAGTGCAGGAGGAGAGGAGCTGATGGAGAGAGTGAAGAAGAGGAGATGGTAGAGCAGAGAATTAGAGCATTTTTATCAGTTGAAATCAGAATATCTCATTTGTTCCATAAAATGTCCAACACAGTATCCCAGAAACCCAAGGTCAAATCTTGTTTTGTCCGACCAACACTTCAAAAGAGATACAATTTACAGGGATAAAGAACAGATGAAAAGGGGCAAATCATCCTATTTGGAGAAACTAGACATACCAGATATTTGCCAATTTTTTCTGGGAAAACGACCTAAACGATTATAAGAATACTTCTTTCTCTGTCTTTCTTCCAGTTGTCACGCAAACCCCTCTCTCTCTTTCTCTTTCCCCCTAGCTCCCGCTACTGTTGCCTATTTTTGTGTATCTTGAATGAATTATGACACAGTTTCTATGACGTCAAATTCTGTACCACACACACACATACACACACTCAGAGTGAATGATAATTACAGCCTCTCTGATCCCCAACACGCCATGCTGACATGTAGGTCAGTGAGCCTCGGTGTTCTCATGAGTACCCTTCTCTCTCTCTGTTGAATTGATTTTCAAAGACTCTAAAACCTGATAAGGGAAGCAGCGGAGAAACTGTGTTCATTTCTCTGCTTCTCTGGATACAACACAGATTGTTTACACTCGAGTCATGTAAATACTCCCTCTAGGTACCTCGAGATACAAGAGCACTCTATTCAATTGTCTCCATCAGTCCCATTTTTATCATATCAGGTCTCATACTGATATCTGAATGTTCTGCAACTTGATAAAAAGAAAAACAGGCTATTTATAATTGTAGTTAGTTTTATCTTCACTGTGCTCCTTAAAAAAAAGGCTGTCTGTTTGTCATTTGAGGCTTAGTATGAACTGAATAATTCATAAGTGCCTTGAAATCCATCTAAAATGCTTTTAAGCTAAAAAAAAACAAACCGTTTCACCGTTCTTGTTATTTCACCACAGCTGAGCTTTAGCTTTAGCTGGGCTGAAACAGAGATTTAACAGCGGTGATAATGTGTGTTTTAAATTGTCAAATTCAGTTCACTGACCTGATGCTGATGAGCTTTATGAACGTCATCAAAGACAGATTTCACACACATCCAGAACCTGCAGTTAAGGCCAAACACCTACTGTTAAAGGAGCAGCTCAACATTTTAGAAAAATATGTTTATTCGTTGCTGAGAGTTGAATGGGGAAGACTGATGCCACTCTCATGTTGGTAAATATGAAGCTGGAGCCGCTGCTTAGCTTAGCATAAAGACTGGAAACAAGGGGAAGCAGCAAGTCTGGTTCTGTCCTCATGTAACAACAGCTCCACCTTTTACAGGTAGTTGTGCGCCTGAATATTTCTTGGCTCTGACCAGTAACTTTCTGGAGTGAAATGTCGAATTCTTGTTTTACACTGAGGTTTTTGTGCTGAATGTTGAATTGTTGTTTTTATACATATTAAGCAAACACAATATAATGAGTTAATTAGTGAGCTTGACAGGTGCTGGTAGGCGGATTTTGTGGATTTTAGACAAAGCCAAACTAGCTGTGTCCCCCCCCCTTGTTTCCAGTCTATAAGCTGAGCTAGGCTAATAAAATACCGGCTGTATCTTCACTATAGCTCGTAGATATGAAAATGTGACCAGGCAAGAAAGCAACCATTGGAACCATTCCTTTAATCCCATCTGATAGTTGCAGATTGCAGCTCTGTCGCTTCACCCTCCCCTTCAGGTATTTAGGAGAGAGGTCCGCAGATATAAAAACACAACCATTCCCATATTCAGGTGATTATACACTAATGACACACTGTGGATTATATTACATTTCAGCCAATAGCACGTCCTAAATGTTACACACTGGACCTTTAGTCATCACATTATAAAGTAATCATACATGCAATCATACATACAGCATGCAGTGATATAAAAAAAAAGATCTGAATGATTAGAGAGATTTACAGTAATAGAATTTGTCACTACACACACTCACACACACACACACACACACACACACACACACACACACACACACACACACACACACACACAGGGGGATGAATAGTTATGACGCCTACCTTGCTCTCCCCTCTCCCACCCCCCTGCTCTCCGTCACTATGGTTACAATGATGCAGGTTACTGTGGCAGCCAAGTCAACCCCACACTCACACAAAAGCACACGTGCATGTGCTCTACCACTCACACACTGACATACGCAGGCTGTGACGCCGAAGAGTTGAATATTGAGTTTCTTTTTGCTATTTCTGGAGGGAGAGGGGATGTTGAACTGCCGTCATTTCTGCATTCACCTGCTTCTTCTCTTTCTTATCTGTCTTTTCAGGAGCACTTGGTGGATGAGCAGATGCTTCCTCTCTGATTTGTTTTCATTCAAAATCTCAAAGTAAAAAAAAAAAAACATGGAGCAGAATGATATATGAAAGTGTGTACATATAAATGCTGCATCGGGAAGCATCTTATCTGCTGCTGCCAGTCGTGTGTATGTGGCTCTTGTATCTTCTCTTGCTGTTGTGTTGGTTCTTCATTGGTTGGGTTAAGTTCTCTCTGTGCGTGTGATGCTTTGCTACCACCTAGTGTTCGTTTTAAGAACTCCGAGACAAGAAGAAGAAGATTGTAAACGAGTGTCTTTCGATGTTTTGTTGCACATTTCTCAAAAACCAGACTTTCAGGATAATAGCAGATTTAAAAAATAAAAAGACAACACAAGCAAGAACTATCAGAATACATTTTATACATATATACATGTTGGAGAATAGTGATGCAGATTACAATTTCCCAGAGAAAAGAAAAATTAGCAAATCCTCACTGGAGAATCTGAAAGCAGCAAATGTTTGAAAAGTGGCTCAAACGAACAGTCAGTTCAAATAGTTGTTCAGTTTCAGCTCCACTTCATACCCCGTTTTCTTCTTCTGCTTCATCATTTTTTTGTCAATGTTTATTTAAAGGGGGAGAGGCGGTAAAGGAAGGATGGGTGGAGGAGGAGAAGCACAGAATGTTAAGAAAGAAAGAAAGAAAGATGGAAACAATGAGGAGAACTGAGAGATGGAAAAAAGAAGAAAGGACAGTAGAAAGACAGGAAGCAACAAAGTAAGGAAAGGGGGAAAAGGCAAGTAGAAGGAAGGGAAAGAGAGAGAGACAGCTGAATAATAGTAAAAGAAAAGAACAAACAACAGAAGTCCAAATATAAATCTATGTCTGTAGCACTTCCTGAACTATTTAGTCTCAAAACCAGCCTCCTCCTCTCGGTTTATGTGTACCTATACTAGAGTATGTTCACCTTTATCCCTTTCGGGATTTACTCTTCTTCTTAGTAGTAATCCCATTTCTTCTAATCCGACCCTCCCTCCTCCACGCTGTCTCACACTCACTAATACACACACGTAGCCTACATTCTCTCATTTAGATCAGCGGCCATTCATGTTGTTGGACTACTGCTGTCGTTGTTGTGGATTCACACTCATAAAACGCCATGGACCCTTCTCCCTCAAGACTACACCCAGTGATACCTGGGTAAGGACACTGTCTGTGCTAGAATAGTGAGTTAAGGACTGTCTGTAAGGTGGCAGAGTCTCGGTGCACAGCGAGTTGTTTATTATTATTATTATTATCTGATAGAGCTAATTGCTACTTATAATCAAGTGTCTTCATAAATTAGAGTTTTATTACTGCTGATTACTTGTTACTTTATCTGCTACTTGCAGTTTTATAGTGGTTTTTTATACACCAGACAATTTATTCCAGTTAATTGACCCTCATTTGAATTATGCCATCCTCATCAACATAATCAACATTAAGCTGAGTGGTTTAGGAAGTTTATGTCCTAATGTCATAATTAACTTTTGTTTACCCTTTTCGAGCATGCTTTTGAGTAATCAACCAAACACACAACAGGGAGCACTTTGTTCAGCGCTGCAGTGGCAGAGGAGACACAACTCCTGCTGAAGGTCCTGTATCTCCGCTCAGACGGCAGTAATGTGAAGTGATGACTGAGGGGTGATCAGCATCATCTCGGCTCTCTCGTGAAGTTTGTTTTTGTTGGTCAACATGGTGAAGAGGCATGGGGACCGGTACAAGAGGTTGGGTTGAATTATGCTTTTGTAAAGCAACAACAGCACCACAGCCAGCACAAGTTTATAGATCACATGGAGTTATTGGTATGAAGTGAATGTCGTCGCAGCATTTAAAGTATGCCGAGTGTACTTTGTTGCTGAGGAAGTTGTGAATTTAATGGATTAGGAGTGGTCGAGGACGAGGTTGTGACATTTGTTGATCATAGACCTTTTTCACAGCAGCCATTTTGACGTGAAATAGTAGGGTAAGCAGGTGCTATCAATGATACTAATTAAGGTTATGTTCCATTTAGTGTAGCAGAGCCTTTCCAGTCAGCCAACATGTAAAATAGCAGCACCCTGACTCTGTTTGACCTGAATAGAACTGAAACTTTAATGAGTATCAGTGGTAACAGCTGTGTTTACCCTACTATTTAATGTCAAAATGGCTGCTGTGAAAAAAGTCGATCTGTTGGCCTCAGCTGCGCCTTCAAAACAATTCAACCTCATCAAAGAGTGCGTCCCTAGTTTGGCCCTGTAGGCAAACTGGAGGGGATCCAGCTGTGGTCTGATGCCCTGCAGGATGGGGTTCAGGATCACTTTTTCCAAGCATTTAATAATTATCGAAATGAGCACAAGTGGTCACTAGTGGATGGGTTCTCAGGGGGTTTTCTCAGGCACTGGTGTGAGGGTGGGTATTGTTGCTGTCCTGATAGAGTGGAGGATGGGAGAGAGCTCCATTGCACAGAGCTTGAGCACCTTACCTGGAATGATTGTTTCATTTAAAGTCTCAAAGCTGGTTTCTAGAGCAGTTTAGTGCAGTGTAGTTTTGAGGTGACAAACAAACCAGGAGCTAGCCAAGGTGTTTAGCTGTCTTTGAGGGTATTAGCATAAGCTCAGGCGCTCTCCTGCTTTCAGACACACCCACATCCTTATGGCTGTCTGGACAGGGCCAGAATAGATTGCACAATAAAAGGAAACGTGGGCCTCGATTAAATTTGTTTTACAAATGTATCATTTATATTTACAGCCTCAAGATGCAGATGGTAAATTTTCCCAATGCTTTTAAATGTTGCTTTTTTCCCCCTTCCACTTCTCTCTGCTGTAAATTTTAAACAAGGATGTGATCTGAAGAAAATGAGGTAGAATCAACAAAGAAGCACAGCAGGATGAAACTTAGGCAGTTAATGCACTTTAGCACATACACTAATGACGATCTTATGCCAACAAATATCCTCCAAATGAAATGTTATAACCATTAGCGCTGAAACAAGTCATTTATCAAGACCGTGCTAGCAGCTCTGTGAGGCCGTACTTAGGCCACTGGTGTTTAGAGCTGAATGCCAACGTCAGCTAACATTCTCACAAAGACAATGTTAACATGCTGATATTCAGCAGGTGTGTTCAACATGATCGCCATCTTAGTTTAGCATGTTGGCATGCTAGCATCTGCTAATTAGCACTAAACACAAAGTCCATTTGAGGTTGGCTGGAATGTCATTAGTTTTGCAATTATTTGGTCAAAAAGTATCAACATAGTTTCATCCTCTGGGGATCATGAATGTCTGTACAACATTTTATAGGAATCCGTTCAATAATTGTTGAGATATTTCAGTCCAGGCCAACATGGTGGGTCGAAACACAAACGAACTGAGCAACCTTGCCATCCATGGAGTCATGCCGCACAAAGTTCAAAGTGCCTCAGTTTTGAGGATATGCAGATTTTCTCTTTTTTATAGTGCTACAATAAGTTCGGCCAATACAAATAGGAAATTGTAATAGAGTATTTCACAATTTTCAGACTTTACAGACTGAAATATTCACGTTCCTTTGAACTGTGTAGTGAAAGTTATTGTTCTTCTTATCTGTGCTCTGTGTCGCAGCAGACGTTTGACTTCAACACCAGGAAAAGCACAGGTGTAACTAATAAGATAAAGGACGGCTCCATTGCATTAAGGTGTGCGAGTCAGCCAACATGCAGGGCCCTGGCGCCAACACACCTGCCTGGAATTAAGCCCATTATTAATGTAATTGGTTACACCTGTGTTTGACAAGCCTAAACGTCAGCTGTGAGAAAAGATCTTTCCTCCGAGGGTGTCGTGTAACCCATTTCCTGTAAAGGCTGTAGTTAATCATCTATGAAAGGAGACTTTAGCGACGAGCGTCTGCTGCTATCTATGGTCACCGCGCGTTGGTTTTCTGGGTCATGAAAGGAAGGAGATAATGGAGGAGAGGAGCAGGGGTTTTCTGTTAGCTTTGGGACTCATACAAAGCATGAAATAATGATGACGTCTTGCCAGTAAATATCTCCACATGCGGCGCTTTCCAGTCCGATGAAAATTACTGACATAAATGTTTATATTTCTCTTGGTTTTTATAGTCTTGCTTTTCTCCATTATTACCTTGTTTATTTGAAGCAAACATTTGCAGATGGTCGATGGAAAACTTTGAAAAAGCTAAAAGGCATAGAATTTCATCCACTCGTTGATTAATGGCTCTCATATATGTGATTGATTTTGGTGTTTCATCTCGCCCAGGGTTGTAATTTCAGCAGTCAAATTAAGATAAAATGAAATAACTATGTAAACATGCTGACAGAGTTAGGGTTAAGATACAGTATATACGGTAGTAGGATACAGGTCACGGTTTATTCTATAGCAGTAATTAAAATTACACATAACACACTGTCTGTTCCTCATTCTCATCCTCATTCAACAACAAGCCTGCTGCCTTCAAGAACACAGCAGGTTTTATGTTAAATTAAAACCCTCACACCCACAGGGCATTATTACTCAGCAGGAATAATGAAATTGTTGCATCTCCTCCTCTCAACTCATTTTCTCCTCCTCTCTTTCTCCTCAGGTTGTCCTGCAGAATCTGTTGATGTGCATGGTGTGCTTCTACTCTCTCTACTACATCGTGGTCAGTCTCTGCATCGGACTGCTCAGGTACACACACAAATACTGAGACCTAATACAGTAACAAAACTACATTTCAACAGAACAACTGAGACCTGAAGAGGACTTTAACTGTTTGTGCACATCTTAATCATCTTCTGGTGTCTCTCCAGGGTTCATGAGATCAACAGCTTGTTGACTCCATTTGACTACACAACACAACCGTCATGGCAGAATCCCAAATACCTTGGTGAGAAGCATTGTTGGAGTGTAACTATGTAGATTTACTCAAGTACTGTACTTAAGTACAGTTTGGCCTGCAGTTTACTTGAGTATTTAAGTTTAATACTACTTCATACTTTCTGACTGTCATTTGACAGTTTTATTTACTAGTTACTTTGAAGATTTAGGTTTTACATACAAAACATGTGCTCATCTTACAAAATATGAAGCACTGTTTTAGAGTCAGTCATAACCCGGCTCCCAGGCCATGACGAATACGGAGGAGGACACAATAGATGGCAAGAAATTTGTGAGTTTAGTAGAGTAACTTAAACAACTGAGGTGATAAGTACAAATGTGGAGTGTGTCAGTCAGTAACATCAGTAATGTAAATGTGGATGTGTGAGCAATATGAGGTATAAAAACTAAGCAGATGTCAAACAAAAGCTGAGAACCTGCTGCTGCTGATGGTACCTTCATGGACACACAGGGAAAACAACTTGTCCACCACATCAGCATGTTGGGCAGGGGCCGTCACAGACAGTAGCTTCACCTCCAGCAGCAGCAGCAACAACAAGAGAAAGCTGTTTACACCTTAATCCATCCGTAATAGTAATCCAATGATATGTAATTCTGCAATTAATTTGTCTAATAAGTAAGCACTTTTACGTGAAAAATCATTAGTGTGGGGTTTTATCTGCATGCTTAACAAGATCGGATGTCCTTTATATAATAATAATAAAATAATAAAACCTTTCAGTCTATCTGGAGAGGAAAATGTGACTTTTATTGTGTCTGAAATCTCTCTGAGTCTGATTTAATATGACAATTAAATGTTTTAAATTGTGAAGCATGTTAAAAATAAAAGATATATCATGTGTTTTCTTTCCTCCCTCCAGTCGGTGTAATTTCCACAGAAGTGACCTATGTCTTGGGAGGGCTGGTGTTCGCCTGGATTGTAGAGGAGTGGGTTTGGGACTACGCCATAACTGTCACACTGCTGCATGTCGCGATGACTGTAGCAGGTAAATACTCAGGCACACACTCACGCCACACTCTCACACAAAGTGGATCAATGGAGCAGAACAGCTGATAGGATTTGAGGCCTGGTTATGTAACTGGATATACTGTAGTGGCTGTATACCAACACTATAATGAACACTCAAACAACCCCAAACATCCTAAACGCCATCTTCCACTTGTAAATAACAAAGTGAATGTGTGCAGTATGTATGGGTAGTTTTTACATTTCACAGTTTCCATGTCTCTGCAGTGATGTCAGACTTCCCTTCAGCTGAGCACTGGTGGATAGCTCTGGGTAAGAGTTCAACTTTCTCTCTACCCCTCCATGTGTGTCCTTATCTGTCTCCAATCCCATTTGCAGAACATGAAAACCCTGCTCTGTTTCTCTCCCCCTCCTACTCTGTCTGGCCAAGATATTGCTTTGGCCTGTTCCCAGACTCACTGTAACTCACTGCCTGCATCCCTTCAGATTCAGGCAGACAGCAACTGGCCTCCAAACCTTGCTTTGATTGATTTCTCTCTCTCTCTCTCTCTCTCTCTCTCTCTCTCTGTCTCTGTCTCTGTCTCTGTCTCTCTCTCTGTCTCTGTCTCTCTCTCTGTCTCTGTCTCTGTCTCTGTCTCTGTCTCTCTCTCTCTCTCTCTGCCTCTCTCCAGGTTCGGGTCTGGTGATGATGATATTTGGAGGACAGCTTATGGCCCATAAACTCTTCAGAAGCAACTTTGTCTATCCGGCTGAACTACAGAACTTCTAATGAACACAATGAGGAAAGCTTTTAACTGGCTTACCAGGTTATTCTCAGTTTGAGATGCATCCGTATAGGTTCACCTTTCAAAGATTATATTGCTAGGTTCATGGTAAGCAACTACAGTATGTACATCAAGAATATATATATTTATATTCTTCAGAGACATACTGTAACGTTGTTTTTTTAAGTCAGATCCCTCCTTGCACCTTTGCCTATTTATCAATTGTGTTTTTTAACATATTCTGTACAGTTTAAGTGTTTTGTATTGTTTCTTTCCACACTATAACCTAAAGATAATGGAAGAATGGACACCTGTAGAAGACTGGATCTACAGCTGCTGTGACCACGTTAAATAAGAAATCTGACTTATATTTTTGCAATATTTCTGGTGTAATGTTAGTGTTATTTATGTATATAGCATATAGTGAAGTAGTATAAAGAAAAGTATGACCTGTTCAGACAGCAAGAAGAGATCCACTCCTAAGTGTGCATGTGTGGACAAAATTGTGCTTACAGACAGAAAATGTACGTCCTTTGGAGCTTCATGTGAGATGAAACCAACATCACAAATAAATCATGATTTTAAAACTGGTTTTATATATATTCAAACTGGATTTACATTAAATACTTTCAGCAAAATTGTGCATGTGTGCCAGTGATGACTGAAACTAAAGGCCACAGTGGCACCCGCCTTGGTAACCCTAAGCCAGTGACACCTGTTTAAATTAAAAAATATGCCCACGGTCTGGGCTGACCCTCCTCTGGAGCTCCCTCTGCTGCATGGGGCCCAGACTGACGGCCTTCTGGGAGGCCTCTCACACTGCTGCTGGGTGATATCAGTATTATTATAATAAAGTGTCAATAGATAATAATAGTTATTTTTCTAATTTCATTGTGTAGTACAGCTCAGTTCTTACACACTGCCCTTCACACACCTCCATCCATATCAACACACTTAACACAGCATGCCTTTATGCATAGACACACACCAGTTTTTACTCAGTGCTCTGCAGTTTAATTTGCTCATCATCAACATGTTTACCTTTCATATTCTTTGATGTCTTACCTTTTATGTCTCATGCAAATAAAATAAAGACACATAATAGATCAATACAACCACAGATTTGTTACAGATAAATGAAGATGAGAGCAGTAGAGTCTACAGAAAGTACATATATATATATATTTAATTAAAATGGTTGATTAGTGTATTATGTTACAAAGAACACAACATATTGAGGGGGAATGCAGCCTATTGATGAAGATGATGAAGATAACTGTAGAAGTGTATGTTTCGGGCTGATCACAGTTCAGCCTCATTTGTTATCAAGGTCACCTGACATTCAACTGAGTGGCCCAAACCTGAGCGCCAAAACAACCACAAACATTTACTCCTAATTAAGCCACCTTCCCTAAAATAAACCCGGCTGACGGTCGGTAACCTACCCACCAGATAAATGTCAGGAAACGGGTTGATATCAAGCATCCGGAGGTTAATAAACACCGAGGAGCGGCTGAGGACTCCGGTAAGTTTAGCTAATGTAACATAACATGTATGTGGCTCAGCTTGGCTAACGTTAGCTAACTGGCTAAGTGCTAATTAACTAGCTGGTGTTTATGTCGGTATTAAAAGCACTTTGACTGCTGTGACACTGACGTTTAAACTTCACAGTTCATTTCAGGTCATTATTATAAGTTTAAAACAGCATTAGTGTTTTCAGAAGCTAAATGAGCCTTATTATCAGTGGAAAACGTCACTTTATTGTTCATTTAACTTAGCATCCATTGTCAACAACATAAACTCGAGATAGCTGACAGACTGTTACTTAATACAGTTTTAATGGTTACGTGAAGGTCTTATGAAGCTGATTAAGTATACAAATTGTACATGTGTGCCAGATAAATATTGGAAAGTAAAGTTCTGTTGTAAACTTCACAGTTCATGTAGCACAGAGACACAAACAAAATCAATAAGAGTTGACAAAAGAATAAAAAGCTCAGGTTTCTCCTGTGTCAGGCTGGTGAGGTGGTGTTGAGACTGCATTATCACAGTTTTCAGTGCTTCAGTAGCTATTGATTTGTTTCAAAGCCTTCCAGTACAGTGATGCTGTTTTTTGGACATGCAGCTGTACTGTAGCTGTATGTTTATAGGTGTACTAACTAATGCTTACAAGTGATTTCACACACAGATTGAATTGGTTGTTGTGAGTTATTTCAAGGCTTTTCTTGTCGTTTTTAGGGTCCGTTCGAACATCTTCGTCAGCAGATGAATGATGTCTTGGGAGATGGAGGGATCCTGAAAGAGGTGGTGCAGCCTGGAGAGGGCCCACCTGTACCCCAAGATGCTTCAGTATTGAGTATTTACAAGTCTAAAAGCTCCTGATGCAGTTTTTATTTCCCAGATGATTTTGTTCTGCCATAACCTCTCCTTATTCTCTTTCTTCCAAGTGCATTACTCTGGTTTCCTGGAGTATTCTGACCAACCTTTTGAAACTACCACACACCTCAAGTACCCCCAGATGATGAAGTTAGGGAGAGGTCAGTGATCAGCAGAGATTTGTTAACCTATAAAAAAAAAAATTGTGGCCTTCAGGAGAACATTTCTCCCTGATTGAACACAGTTCTTGAAAATTATCGTTCAAACAGACGTGACGCTGGCCGGACTGGAGCTGGGTCTGATGACCATGCGGAAAGGAGAGTTCTCTCGTTTCCTCTTCCAGCCCCAGTATGCATACGGGGACATGGGTTGTCCTCCGTTCATCCCCGCCGCTGCTGTGGTTCTGTATGAGGTTCAGATCCTCGATTTCCTCGACTCAGGACAAGTGGACAGCTTCATTGCGCTGAGTCCGGTGCGTGCTGTGTTGTCGTACAGAGAAGAAAACTACATAAGACATTGTTCTTCCACTTGACATCAAATGCATGCTAACGTTATGCTACTAACAGGAGACTTATTTACGTTTTCATGCATTTATACTCGTGCCGGAGAACCTAGGAATCTTTATATGTTTGCTTCCAGAAGACACAACCAATAATTACCTCTTCCTCTTTTTTTGATTAAATGATTAATAGCCAAAATAAGGCAGAGTCAGAAAAAAAAGGGGGAGTTTTGTTTGTATTGTTGACTATTTACCTTCTCTGTCTTCAGGAGGAGCAGAACACAGTTCCTCTGTCCACACTTCTTGAAGTTGTCAACACAGTACGCAGCTTTGGCAACCGTTGCTTCCACCAGAGCCGTTACGACAATGCCAAAGATCGCTACAAACAGGTACGTCTGGATGAGCGTTAAAGATAAAGAGAACCTAGCTAATGTGATGTTTTTATGTGCACTGGTTAAGATGAAAATGTATTTTGTAATGGATTCCACTTTTGGCCAACAGGCACTGATGCTGCTGGGGAACAGGGACACAGAAGGCGACGCAGTGAAGGAGAGGATCCAGACAGCACTGCTTCCTCTGTATCTGAACCTTTCTCTTACCGAGCTCCGCCTGGACAGCCCACACAAAGCCCTTAAATATGGCAACAAAGCCTTGGAGATAGATTCTGCCAACACAAAGGCTCTTTACCGCTGCGGACAGGTCAGACGGGGCTTTTGTTGGTCTTTTCCAAACCATTTGATAAAAGTCCTCGGAGGCCTTCTTAAAAGTGAATGATAATACATGTTTTGTTCCTTTTTTTAAAAAAAAAAAAAAAAAAAAAAGCTTGAGTTGAATGAAATGTTTTGAATCATTTTTGACCATTTTAGCTTGAATTTACTGAACAGCAGGTATGTTTATTGTACATTTTGGTTTATCATTTAGCTATATTTGTTAACTTTAGATACACCGAGGATCCATAGGCAGCTTTTTCTTCATCTCCAGGGTCCCTGCGTTGCTACTTGCTGACACCCTAGATAACAATTAGTCCATTATTCTGACTGATGTCATCTCTGTCAGGCGTATCTGGAGCTGCATGAGTACGAGAGCGCCCAGACTTGCCTCATAACTGCTCAAGCAAAGAAGCCCTTTGACTCTGACATCAACAACTTACTGAGGAAAGTGGCAATGTAAGATGAACCTCTGCTGACACATTGAAGGCATTTTAAAATGAGTTGAGACAGGATGGTCTAGTTGTAGTAGTTTAAAGATAACATAGAATTAATGTGCTTATACTTTCATTTATATTTTTTGTATGGCATATTTGGTGTTTTAGTTTAAAATGCCAGAACTTCCCTATAGGGCATAAATCACTCTGAAGATATTTATGTGTATAAAGGATTTTCTATGTTTCAGGTGCTATAAAGACAGCTTGGACCAACAGAAAGACTTGTACTCCAAGATGTTCAGTGACTTGAGGGCCAACTGAAGATGTAAAGATGAGAAAAAGGTAAGAAATGCTGTTCACTACTGTGTCCGAGGGTTTTCAATATTCAGCAATTTTCCTTAATCTTTTCATAATCTTACGTCCTACGTTTGAGCTTTTCAGAAAGACAGATCTCACTAATAAAATGTTTGTGTGTTGCAGAGTAAACAACACTTTCTCTCCAGAGCTGCGGTTTCTGGAAATTAAACCTTTCATATGTTATGGAAGGAATAATGTTGTACAGATGTGGTGTTCATGTCCTTTAACCGAATAAGTCAGTTCCTTCAAATCCTGCAGATGTTTGTTAATAATGTAGCTCAACGGCATTGTTTCTGTTTGAAGATGTGCTTTGCAGAGTTTACTTTCATTACTAGATATGAAGGCTGGAAGAAGATTTACACGAAGAGTCAGAGGGAATCTTGAGTGGCTGCATTTTCTATACAGTTGCAGCCTCTCAGATTCTGTTCAGTAATACTGTGTTTGCTTGAATATTTGCATGGGGTCCTGAATTGATGATAATAAAATAAAAAAATAAATAACTAAAATATTTTCCCTTTGTTAAATAGATAAATTAGAAAAAGTTTTCATGATGTTGAATTTGTTCAGCTTTGTGGTCAAATATACTAAATATAATTACTGTTCCTGCATTATTGATTTATTTTGTGTTCTCAGTGTGAAATAAATTACCTCAGTTGTACAAACTATGATTGTCAGTGTAACTTGCTAAATTCAGCTGGTGACAAAGGAAAGAACACATTGTCCCTTTTTGTTTTTTTACAGATTGTGCATGCTGACTTAAAAGTTAGTTTTTGTGCCATGGTCCTTTATTAATGGGGTTGTGATGATGATAATAAGTGGTTGCAGTTCACCTCAGTCTTTATAGAAGAAGATTTGGCTTGTAGCATGGACAAAAACAGACAACTGAGAGCAAGTTTCAGACTATCTGTAGATAATTTACACTTTGATTTTAGGGCTACTAAACAAACACCAGGTGGCACACTTGAACAGTGTCTGCCTCCAGAACAGCACTCTGCTCCTTTTTTATAAAATATGATTTAAGGAAGTGTGAAACTTAAAGTCAAGCTTTGACAGATGAACTCAAAATAGAACTAAGATGTGAGATATTTGAAAAAAAAAATTAAAATATGAATAATTAAATGTCTAATATGAATAGATTGCTGGAAGATATTCTGAAATTTGCAAGGACCCATGCTTCATTTTGAGTTTTCCAGTGATGCTTTTAAGTAGTCATCAACCTCCCAGCCTTTGCAGCAGCGACGGCAATAACTCTTTAATATCAACCC